TTCTCCAGCCCATAAGTTCCCTTCCACACAAAGAAGGGAGCCCTTTCACTCCATCTGCTTAATGACCCATGCAGTTGCTTAACAACTGCAACCATCAGCCAAAATTGCTGTCACTGAGGGTAGTAGTCATATGGGAATCTCACTTAACAGTCACTTTATTCAATGACAGAGCTTCTGGTCTCAACTGCAGTCATAAGTTGTAGATAATATAGAGTTTCCATTTTACTGAACACACCAAATACTACACTACTTTCATTACCATCACACTTTAGTAAAAAAAATAGAATTATGCAATAGGATTTTGCATAAAGGAAGGTGAATCTATACTAGTGAGGCTAGATCAGTTTTCAATGGCCCCCTGAGTTTTATGACCCTAAAAAAACTAGTTACAATTTGAAACACAGTCAAACTATGAGGAGTAATTATATTTCCCTCCTTCTAGTGGCATTATCTGCCTGACAGGAACAGATTTTTCTCCTTCTAAAAAGAAAACATTTTTTGAAAATCTGGACGGCCTACAAGGTCCAAGATTCATATTTAATTTTATGTCAGTACAAAAACAGTTGGCTTTTTTAAAAAAAAAAAATCCTCAAATTAAGACACCCTCACACCTAATTCAAATGCTCCCTTATTGAGCATTATTTTAATGAGTATGTTCTAAGCTGCCCATTAAAAATGAAAAATATTTGGATATTTGATATTTTATGTAATTATTGGATTAGATTACCAGAATGCAATAATAGTTTAAATAACAACAGCAACAATAATAACAAAAATATTTTTTGAAAGTTGAAGTTCTTACCCATCCTGAAGTCAATGTATCCTTCTCCTCCACTTATCACCAGTATTGATTTTAAAGGAGTCTGGCTATTGGGCTCCTGTGCAGAAACAGTTGTTCTTTCACCAGATAATTCTGAGCTTCCACCCACTTCGGGACAAATCACCTGACCTAGAAGCGGACAATGTATTGGTGTTACTTTTTTGTAATAGCAGATTAGCAATGCCAAATTGATTAAATGGATCTTTGTGAAAGAGGGCCTAAATGTACTTCCCCCCAAACTCCTCACAATTCCAAAAGCAGAAGAAGGAATGACTTTTCTCCATTTCACTTTCCAAAGCTACTTGGCTTTTGTACCTGGAAAGAAAATTTAGCACCATTTTGGAGGAACAGATTATCTATTTTAAGAACAATAACCACAGACTGCAGATTAACTATTAGAGCTGTACTCAAATCTTTCCATCAACAAGCAATATGCCCTGTCCTCGGAATTAGATTAAATTTTCGCTGCCAAGCGCCTTCAAATTTGTGCTTGAAGGTGGAGAATACTTCAGAACACACCTGAATGTACAGAGAGAAGCAGGATTGAGGTATCAAGAGAAAATACATGTTTTATCTGTGGAAATTTGCTGCCATGGCGTTCATATATTCTAAAACCCAAAGTGTTTCTGCATTGCAAATAGCAAGGCAATACAAAATGGTATTGAGGTATGACTGAAAGAATATTTTTCAACCAGATTTGACCCACTCAATCCATATATTCCAAGACAAGCTGCTACCGGCTTTACACTTTTACAAGGCAAACCGACTGAACTATTAGACATTGTTTCTTAGTTGGTATGTAAGGTAGGTTTTTTTGCTTACCAAGAACAGTACACAGCACAACACAGAAGATATGTACATATACTGCTCATCACAGGTCCTGGTAGCTGACTGACTGTTAACAGCTGTCAATCTCCAAATGTTACCTCCCACTTCTCCATCTGCTTGCTGTCTTCCTATCTCGTTTTCTCCTACACACCCATACACACTCTCTCTTAGTGTCTGCATTTGTAAACTAAGGGTTTGGGTGGGATGAGGTTGCCCCTGGACATCTCAAATTTCTGGCCCTTTGGGGAAAAGCATAAGCTGCGCTGAACCTTGGGGAAGTGGGAATGAGGAGTGTTTCTATCTGGTGGCGGCAGCTGCTTTTCCAAACCACACACAGTCATCCCTGCTACACTTCCTCACATGGAGGCCCTATATTATGGAGTAGCCTCCCCCTGGAGATTTAACTGATCCCTACATTGCTGATCTTCTGCAAATTTCTAAAAACTTAAAATTAAGTTAGAGAGCCTTTGGAGTCTACTAGATGATGCTATTAGGTTGCACTGTGGATGAATTTCTATGGCTGTTTGATTGGTATTCTTAGCCATTTGTAACTCTGCACCATGGAAGTTTTACTGTACGGCCTTTAAGAATGTACAGTGAACCACCATGAAAGAAGAACAGCAGGAGCTATCATCTTTGTACTAGCTCTCGTCCTGATAAGATAGGCATGGTATCTCTGCCAGAGTAATATAAGCTATCTGCATTAGATTTAATGAAATGGAAGTAATGCTGTGAATGCCAGCTTTTAGGTTGCTACAACACTGTTTGTGATTTATGTTTACTGTAATTAAATACATTTCTTACTATACTAGCCCAAGTCTAAGAAGTATGTTGTATACATATTAAAACTCACACAGGTATGAAAAAGAGGAGATTCAGCAAAATGGATGAGCAAGTATCTCAAGGTTATCCTAACACACATGGTAACAGTAGTAGTTTGAAAGTCCACACTTTCTTTGTATTAAATCAATTGCCTCCTGTAAGTGCATAAACTGAAAATCTTTTCAAAGTTTTAAAAATCTCATTCTAGTAATCCTTTCCTTGATGGTCTTTCCAGTGATTCAAAGTTTCTATGTTAAATATTCTGTCTCATAACGACCGCATACTTTCCAAAGATGCAGAATTTCCATATGCAGTTACTCTGAGACTGGTTCACATAATACTACCAGCTTAGTGCATTGTGTGAATCCAGATGGCTAACTTACAACGTGCCTTGCTAACCCAGGAAATTTTATTAACTCAGTAATCTATGATTAACCCCTTACTAGGATGATGCGCAAACACAGCCTAAGCATCAGGTTAAGGGTTAATTCATATTTAAAGTCTCTTACATTGTTTATAACTTTGTGTCAATTTCCTACCATACCACTATAGACCTTGCTTCTTCCTATATTTATTTTATTTATTTTATTTTTTATTTTATTTATTGATTTGATTTGTCAATCGCTTACAAGATAATAGGTATAAGTATAAACATGAGTAAGAATAGAGGAAATAGGTACAAATAAATGGGGACAATAGGACAGGGGCATTAGGCACGATGGTGCACTTATGCACGCCCCTTACAGACCTCTTAGGAATGGGGGTGAGGTCAATAGTGGATAGTTTGACGTTAAAGAAGTGGAGGTTAGAGGATGTAACAACAGAGTTAGGTAGTGCGTTCCAGGCATTGACCACTCTGTTGCTGAAGTCGTACTTTCTGCAATCTACTTTGGAGCCGGTTAACATTGAGTTTTTATCTGTTGTGTGCTCTTGTATTGTTGTGGTTGAAGCTGAAGTAGTCATTGACTGGTAGTTCTCCTACATAAATTGAAGTTCTCCTACATGGCCCTTCATCTTGTTGGTTTTCATCACTGACGATACTACTTATGCTTATAATTGAATAGGTTCAGTATCTTCAAGACAGATAAGTGCAAATCCATTCTTTTTCTGATACCATAATGAGTTCTCTTGATTACACTACTAAAGTTTGAAGCAAGATGTTATGTGCCAGGACAACTGTGGGACAAAAGGACCCTTCCTTATGTGGAAGTATGAATGGGGGGGGGGTGTCTACACATGCATACTTTCCCTCCATAAGTGCTTGAAAATACTCTAGAAAAACCTTGGAAACATACAAGACACCCTGTTTATATTTGAGTATCATGTGACTTTCCCCTAACTGCGTGGCTACTGTCCCAAACTCTTCTTCCATCTATAGCTCCTACCTATAACGAACAGTTTGCTGAAGCTTTCTGAATATGCAACTACTGCTGTTTTCAACATCTTATCTTAAGCAATGTCAAAAGTCAGAAATAAATATTTTCTCTGGATGAACCAAGAAAGAAAGGCTGGAAAACTGTGCTTCTATAAAGAAATTCCTCTTCTGAAACCTTGAGAACAGCAATGTACAACAATTTCTCCTCAATGGATGAACTTTAAAAAAACTCTATGATGGATTCCAGAAGAAACCAAGTCACCCATTTAAATTAAAGGCTAAAGGGTATAATTACATACAAAGCTTACCAGGTACGGCAACAAAAAACTTAACGGCATCACGATGCCCATGGAAACAAAGCTGTGCATGTGCCATTGAACAATAAGGAATGAAGGTTCCAGGGGTCACTTTGTCACTGTTTTCATCTCCATACACACGTATTACATTGCCAGGACGGTTGCCAGAGCTTGCTGCTGCTTTGTTAGCTACAACGGGAGAAATAAAACATTCTCCAGTGAAATGGCAAATTGTAAAATATAAATTAAGGAACCTTGTGATATCCAATCTAGAAGCTGAAGCAAACTCAGGTAAATAAAAATAGAAAGGGCAACAAAATGCCAATTCAAGGCAAAGCTAGAAAGAAATAAAAGATAGCATGCTTAGTTGTTGGAAGTACCTCCAGAAAAAAAAAATGGAGAAGCTTGCTAGTCCAGCATAACCACACATTTTGTTATTTCAAAGGTCTATGTTCAGTATGAACAATGCTGAACAGGTTGTTTCAAACTCCCTAAAACAATGAAGTATAATACAGAAATATTTAAAATATTAAACAAAGTTTTTTTTTTATTTTAGAAGAGGAATTCTTAGGGCAACCATGCTAATTTGTTCTAGCACATATCAGAGTGCAATGTGGCACCGTTAATTAAAATAAATTTACTCTATCTTTCTGCAAATAAACAAAGCCTCTTTTAAAAAGAACTTTTAAAAAGAAGCCTTCCTTGGAAGTCCCGAATTTTGGACTTCCTAAAGCCAACAGTACAATTATAGGGGATGAGAAAAAGATAAGATGATCTTGTTGGCTAATTCACTTTTCAAATACTATGTTCCACTGCCAATTATTTTTAACTTCCAATTTTTGCCCTTTTTTCATGCCAGACAGACAGAACTATCTCCATTTTGAACAGTGCTAGAAGAAAGAAAGAAATGTGATATGCAACAAAAGAAAAATGGTGTGGATTAATGACAGCTACAAGGTTATGGTGTCACAAATGATACTGGAAGAAAAACAAGAAGCCAGCATGAAAAGTTCAGCTGCAACAAAATATGAGGCCACTAAACTGTTGAGTAAGATTGGTGGTCATTCAGCAAACATAAAATACTGCAATGCAGGTAACTGCAAGTGGAAATACAACTTAGGAACAAAGGGGAGGGGGGTGAATTTTAGAGAAGTGGGAACAGCCTTCAACGGGCTATTAGAGAAGCCTGAGAATACAGGGGAGGTTTGGGATCAGCACTTACCCCTCAGCCCCAGTAAACGTCCCTGGTGGAGGATTATGGCTAAAGTAAGAAAGGAGGAGAGGGGAAAATGGGTAGGTGTGACAGCAAAGGAGAAGGATTAATCAGAACCCATAATTTGTGTTCTGCTATTTGAAAAGAGCTTCATGGGCGAGCTTCTACTAGCGAAGGCACAGTAAGATTACTAGAACAAACACACTGTTTCTTTGTATGAAGAATATGGGCAAAACAACTAGCAAAATATTAACATTGTTTTATTGCTACCGCTACTTGCTACCTATTGATATACTGTCTTTCCCCTTTCCTTCTTTCTTTTTAAACAGATGCTAAGGTAGAGAGAGGGGCCGTGGTCAGATTCAGTCCCAGCCCCCCAAAATTTTGGGCATGGCCCCAGGCTACCAAAAGATGTCATCCAATTGTGTAAGTTAATATGTCAGAAAATGGGGAGTATTAGGTACATCACTAGAGAATATTATGATTTAGTTTATTATTTATAATGTAATCAAAGAAAATTAGAAAATTTTTATTTTAGCCCCAGCTACTAATGGTCTCGAAAGAACCATCAAAAGCCAAATGTACCTCTTGGTTGAGAAAAATAGTGCATCGCCCTCTCCTCACACCTCAAGATAATTAAATAAGAACTGTCCACTTCTTGGAGGGGGGAGAGGGAACACTCAGATAGTGAGCACTATCTGTCAAATATTAATTTGTCTGCTGGTCAAGCAAGATCCAGAGTATCCAGCTTGTAAAACCAGCTGTGAAAAGAGCTTTTTAGAGAGATAAATACTTACCTAGTTAAATGCTGTCCCATCAAGGCTTTCATAGTAACTCTTAAAGGAGGATACTAAAAGTTTGTGCCTTAACTGAAAACTGGTGGTAAATTGCTTAGCAATCTTTCCAGATTACAAGCCATTTTAGAAAGAATAGTAAGGAGGGCATGCAAACCCCAATAGGAAGAATTTCTTATATTTCTTTTTGGTGAATTTGAAAAAGAATCTTCACCGTTTAAATAGATGCATTATTTGAAGTATTTCTGTTTATTGAAGACACATAAGCCAAACCAGACATTTAATGAATGATCAATGAATGGTATAGCATGGAAAACAATGCACATGATACTCAAGCAATTAATATGAAAAAAATGTTCATCATTATTAAATTTCTTTAAAAAGTAATATTTACTATATAGCAATGCTCTATAATGGTCTATTTCATTATGCTCTCTCTATATATATATGTATAAATGTATTGCAGAAAGTAATATAGAAAAAACTTCTGATACAAGTATATTAACCTGGATGTTTCCCAATGTGGGAACCCTAAACAGAAAAATCTGGATGAAAAGACTATGGACCTTTTATGTAATTGCAGAAAACTAACAATTTAAATAAAATAGAATTTCATAACTATGTGTATACCATTCATGCATTCAAAAAAAAAGTAAATAAAAATATAGAATTTGTTAAAATTAAAATGCTGCTCTTGGCACTTAACGCTCAGAATAAAAGCTATCCCGCCCCCTATTTTTTCCAGCTGCATTGTGGGGTTGAAGAGCAACAGAGAAGAAAAAAGACAACCGCAAAGTCTATCCAACTAAAAAGAAGGAAACAAAATGAACATTAAAGTAGCGGGCTACAGAAGAGGGGTTGTGGAAAGAAATCAAACTGAAACAAAGTTGTTTAAATAAGTGTTCCCTATAACCATTTATTTGTAAAAAAATTTAAAAATCTCATTTAATGCATTTAATCTTAACAAATTTAGTCTCATACTATTTTTAAGGCAATTTTAATATATACTCTTTCTGAATTGAAGATTGTGACTTTTAATTATCAAATCAACAGCGTAGACCTGAGGTAGGTCCTCCTACACATATTTTACCCAGAACAAGGCACATTTCAGCACTATTAACATGCAGAAAATTCAGTTGCCAGACCTTGTGCTCCCACAAGCAAAATTCTTATGTATCTGATTTTTGCCCCACCTTTATTACTTTATAAGTATCTCAAAATGGTGGACATACATAATATTCCTTCTTCCTCCAATTTTCTCCACACATAACCATGGGAGGTAGGTTGGGCTGAGAGAGTCACTGGCCCAACATCAGCCAGTCAGCTTTCACGTTTTTTTTCCTGTCAGTTCAACCTTCCAATATTCTAAAACTGCATGAATTTCTGACCCATCATTAAGTCCTTACCAAGATTTAGTTTTAGTGAGTTAAGCTGCCTGGCAGAGAAGAAACTGAAAAATCCCTGTAGAGTCCCAATTGACTGATTGATTTTTTATTTTTTTTACAGTTTATGTGATGCTCCAATCTGAAGATACTGAGAGGCTTGTAAAATAGATTACACGTTATTCAGAGCATGGTTGGAAGAACACTGACTATTCGTCTATATTTCAAATTTGGTATAAAATTGCTGGCAATCTTGGATACCCCGTTCATTTTTATAAACTTACTTTCTGTTAAAGGTATTGAGATGATGACACCATTTCCTGTTCCAACCCATAAACGACTGCAAGATACCATCAGAGCTGTGATTCTCACAAATGAAAACCCCAGTTTTCCTGTACCTGAAAGAAGTATGCAGCGTTCATTAAAATAGAAAAAAAAAATCTTCAGAGATCTATGAAATGTTTATATCTAGCTCCTTGTTATGTAAACGACAACAAAAAAACAGCTTTGAAAACTGTTTAAATAACAAAGAATCTAAAACCCCTATAGAGTCTAAAACCAGTACTCAGTTGCTATTTTGAAAACAGAAGAATTGCATTCACACAAAGGGCAGGCAGAGATCCAATACAATCTTCTACCGACTCTAGTTTTTTCTTCAACCTGCTGGTCCTAGCACAGTGATGACTAACCTTTTTGAGCTCCTGTGCCAAAAATTGCATGCATGCTTGCATGCCAGCACCTAGAAGCATTGCGTGCCCCCTGCCCCCGCAATCCCCCTCGCTGCGTGCCTGCACATATGGCTCTGTGTGCCACCTGTGGCACACATGCCATAAGTTCACCATCATGGTCCTAGCACCACCACCACCAATGCTCCTTCATGTATTCCCTGATCCTGCAAGTATCTTCCAGGGAACAGCACGAAGTGTAGCAAGAAATCAAATAAGGCAAGCTCGAATGGTTTAACCTTTCCCAACCTGCCCTGTTTCTGATCTGTTAGGACTATGCTGATTCAGAATATAAGAGTTATCAGTACTGTAACTGAATATTCTACAGTAAACGGTACAGATGTTGCAGTTGCTGGGATTACAATATAGCACATAATATATCTTGTGCATTTGCACACCTGTACATGCATGCATATACCTGAAAGCAGATATATACCACAGTAAGAAACTGTTTTGCAACAAAGCTTTTTTCTTTAATTCATTGTAAATTTCTTTACATAGTATAAAATGCATGTACAGTCTATACTGTTCATTTTTGAATAAAATTATATATACCTATATCTATATATATATCTATATATCTGTTTTCTGAGGTTCTCGCGGGTATTCGTATGTGGATCTTTGGTTGTTCGGGTTTTCTCCCGCGTAAGATTCGAAGTATCTAGGCAACGTTTCGATGAAGTCTCATTCATCATCTTCAGGCTTCTGTCTTCGGCTCTTGCTTCTCAGAGTGATGTGAGATTGCAGCTGCTTCTTCCTTTTAACTGCTAGTGGGGTGGGACTTGATTGGGTGGAGGCTTGGCTGTGTTCTGATTGGGTAGGGGTGTGTTCTCATTGGTAGGGGGTTTGGCTGTGTTCTGATTGGTTGGGGGGTTGGCCGTGTTCTGATTGGTTGGAGGCATGTTCTGTTCAGGTGGGGGCTTGGTTGTGCTCAGGTTAGTCTTAGTTGCTGGGGGATTTGAGGTGGTGAGCTGTGATCTTGCTGTTTGGCTTCGAGTTCGTGGTCGTGCTGCATCTTCATAGTGGGTGTCGGTTTGCTTCATGTATGGCTCGGAGGGGTTTGAAGTGGGTAGTGATGCAGCTGCAGTGCAGCTTCTGGTCCGTGGTCGTGTCTCATCTTCTGAGTGGGTGTGAGTATGTTTTCTACATGGAAGTGTGGTGGTGGCATCTTGTGTGGCTCTCATGGGTGTGGGTCTGGTGTCATTCTTCATGTTAGGTACTCGTCTGTTCATGAGGGCGGGTTTCCAAATGGCTGGAAGGCGGGAGGTGTCATCTCGTTTGTTCATGCTGTGTGGGCGTTTTTCTATCTCTATGGCATGAACAAACGAGATGACCCAATCAGAACACAGCCAAGCCCCCACCCAATCAAGTCCCACCCCCACTAGCAGTTAAAAGGAAGAAGCAGCTGCAATCTCACATCACTCTGAGAAGCAAGAGCCGAAGACAGAAGCCTGAAGATGATGAATGAGACTTCATCGAAACGTTGCCTAGATACTTCGAATCTTACACGGGAGAAAACCCGAACAACCAAAGATCCACATCTATCTATCTATCTATCTATCTATCTATCTATATCTATATCTATATCTATATCTATATCTATATCTATATATATATACTGTATATTTCCTTTTCCAAGGTAAATGTCCAAATTTCCCTTTTCCCTATTTTTTCAATGAGAGTTTTCTTCATCTCAAAAAAATGAAGTTTTCTTTTATTTCCTGAGAGGTGATGTTGTTGTCAGTGTCCCGCCTAGTGTTCCCTCTATATGGAAAATGTATCCATAATTTGGAGGAAACTTTTTAAAACATTTAAAACATTATCTACCCAAGCAATTTACTTCATCCAAAACAAAAACAAACTCCCCTCCAAGGCATGGGACTTACCTAGCATTTTGCTTACATAAGGCTCAATGTCAACGTCTTGTAGGTGCTGGTAAGTGTGCGCATGGTAAAGCCGAAGGGTTGAATCTAAACGAATGGACACCCACACTCCATCTCCCACCCACGCCAGCTGTCTCACTTGGCTCTCCTTCCTTGGGTGTGCATCAAATGATTTCTAAGAGAAAATTAAGGCTCAGTTATAGTTTTTAACAATTTTTTCCCCCCACACTCCTATTTACCCTTTAAAATGCACTCAAGCGTCTAAGAGTCTTCATTAAATAACACATGAACACATACTTTCCCCCCTTTATCTCTCTTTATATTGTGAAAATATTTTCAATGCAAGTCTTTTCATCTCTTGATTAGTATTGTTAGTTATCTTCTCAGTTCTGAAAATGCTATTTTTAAAATGCTCATGCTAATGTCTCACTTTGTTCCGCATGTTTGGCCTTCAGTGATATTTTCTCTGTACTGTATATACTCATTTCCTTTTAAACTTCCCCTTTTCTATGTTAGTTCTCATTTGGTGTTCTTTTCTATGGAGATTCTTAGTCATCCAGGTCATCCCAAAGGTGCTTTTTCAAACAGCAACTGGACTTTCTTGTTTTTCTTTAAAGATGTTTACTTCTCATCCAAGAAACTTCTTCAACGCTGACTGGATGGTGAGGAATAGAAGGATTTATATTCCTTGCATTCTTTTGGAGCCACTGAGGCCACTTAAAAGTGACCTTAAGAAATCACTTGAGGACACAGATAAATCTCCAAGTGGCCTCAACGACTCTCAAAAAGAATGCAAATGATCAGTTGTCTGCAAAGAATACAAATCCTTCCATTCCCCACCATCCAGTCAGAACCGAAGAAGCTTCTTGGATGAGAAGTGAAACGTCTTAAAATAAAAACAAGAAAGTCCAGTTGACTCTTAAAATCTCATCTTTAAGATTTGGTGCTCTCCTCTCTCCCCCTCATCATAATAAGATCAAGAGGCTTAAAACAGGTAAAGCTGGCTGTTACAGGGAGGAGCAATGGAGCTTTGCTATCCTTAAAGCAGCAGGATCATAATCAGGATCTAACATATATTTCCAGTTTCTATTAAATATCACTACTGGATCACTATTCTGTGTTCTTCAAGACAGACCTAAAGTTGTGAATATGAGCAACATATATCAGTGTGGAAGACACTGAAAAGCAGAGGAGAAAACCAGCTCCCTACTCCCAAAAACTTACATCTGATATTGGAGGAAAAAAAGAAGCAAGAAACAAGGTATAAATGAGGAAATATTAATTGGTTCTTTTTGTTTCACACCTTTATGTTTTGCCCCATTACAAACCAGGCACTGTTATATTGTGCCAAAGGTTCCAGAGATGGGCTTCAAAAAGGAATATTAAAAAATATGCTCCCAAGCAGAAGTTTGTTTAAAAAAATTTAAGTGAGTAGAAGGCTTCTGGATATTAAGCAGTAATAAAACTGAAGGTATGCGATCTATGGAAAGGGTTGTATTAAGTTTTAAGGAGCAGATATAGAGAAGGAATTCTGGTATACCTGGAACAGTACACGGTACACTGAAGGAGGAACACTTTTCAGACTAAAAGACCTTTACTAAATAAGCTGCACGAATATTTATGAGGATAACTGGGGGCCCTAGATTCAAGCAATATAGTGGCTGTTTATATTGTCTGGTAGTGTTTTTCCTGCTTCTCTGATTTAAGTAGCAAAGAGAACAGACATCAATCCAGACTGAGGAAATATTTTCACTTGCCTCTATTTTCATTGCTTTCGGCTGAACCACATATATTTTATTTCTATACCCACACCAGACTTTATCGTGCACCACAGTCATACATCGGATTGAATGATGAGGCCGCCCAAGATCTAAGAGATGGTAATTTGTCAAATCCCATTGTCCATCTACAAAAAAAGAAACAGTTAAGGAAGTCAGAAGAACTCATTTACAAAAATGTATATAAATAAATATTATATACTCACATACTTGTAATTTTTAATACTTTTAAATGCAACTGTGTTTTAAAATCACAGAATTGGTGAATTAGATGATGGCCAACAGCTATCATGTTATATCTCACCACCAGCACAACCCACACACATACTTTAAAGGTAGTTCCCACTCTCATGGCTTTCCAGAAGCCGTAACACTCATTTAAAAAAAAAAAAGCTCTTCTGGAAGACTTCGGAAATTGGACTTCTATCGAACTCCCGGTTTCAAAAATGTTACATCTATTATAATTTTTAAAACTGCATATATGTTGTGTTTTATTGTATGGCACATCGGTAACTGTTGTTTTTATATACCACTTAAAGCCACCCTGAGTGAATTGCTTTATAAACTGTATTCATAAATAAATATGCAATGAATGAAGTACTGAGTGAAACATTATTGGTAATAGTACTTCAAATTACAAATTGAACAGATCATCTCTGAAAATACACAAGGTTTCTAGTGCTTGCATCTTTCAGAATCTGATTTATAGTGCAAAATGCATGATAGTCTAATATATTGGAATAAAGCACTTACCAACTCCTCTATGAAATATTGCTAAGGTTCCATCAGCTAGTG